AGCCCCACGTAGTCGTAGGCCTACATCAGCTGAAACCCAAGTTCATTAATTTTGTCAAATGTAGTTGTTTGGAGTCCTTTGTAGCTGTATTCATAAGTGCCTTTCGATATTCTTGTCAACGTTTTTCACTACTGTAGAAATGTCGCCGAACATTTTTGTCAGTGGGCTTAAAATTCATTCGCTTGGGAAGTTGACGTTTATGGTCATGCTGGAGCTCTGTCTGGTTATCGGGTGATGGATTCCCAACAATGTGCAATTTCAAAATACTCAATCATCTCAAAATATATGATCTTTCATCTTTAAATTCAGACCCAAGAGATCATGATTGTTAATCGCTGTTATTGACTCTCATATCAGTCTCGTTTATTAAAAAATACTTATTTGTGCCAGCGCGTTCTGGATAAATTCTCTATAAAAATGTATTTGGTGTAACTTAAAATGGGACAAATCAGCAAACATGAGCCAATTGCTAGCAACAAAAATTTGCCCGAGCCTTATTGGATCCCCCTTCCCTCGACACGGAACTGTCGGGAGTCCCTTTAATCGAATTTTGTGAACACCTTTCGTCTTTCTACTCTACTTTTTAAAAAGAATATTAAGCCCACGGAATCTCGTACGCCGAATAGTTGCGCGCGCACACTGTACAAACTGAACAGGGGAACAGCTGAAAACAGTCCACAGTGTCTTACTTCCGATTTCATGTTCCCGTTTTTGTCTTTTGTGGTGATGTGTCAATTTTCTTTATATAAGGACGTATAGGAGTTATGGACGTGAAATTGGCTTCTTGGAAAAGGTAGACATGATGAAATTATTTTTTGGCCCATTTACGATCTTCATATCCTGGACTCCCAACGTAACGTGGAACGGTCAGGGAGTTATAGCTCAGTGAGCTATAGTCCACCGCAGCAATTTCCAAGTAGTATTCCTAGTCCAAGTTAGACCATGGGTGTAAGAAGTTACCACCCAGAAATACAACGAGTCATGAATATTGACGTCAGTATTTGCGACCAGAGAGCAAGTCGTGAATTTTGGTCGGAAATATTGACAGCCATATTCGCGACTGCAGAGCGAGTCGTGAATTTTGGTCGTGAGTACTGGCGTCAATATTGACCATTGGTGATGCCCGTCCAGGGCCACCATACTCCTCGCTTCCACAGCAAAAAAATTAGAGCGGAACAAAAGAGGGCGTGTTTTACGTACTCACCATTGATCTCCACGATATAGAAGATCAATGGTACTCACCACAGACATAAATAATCCATGTCTGTGGTACTTACCGTACAGGCGCGCCACGAGGCGCGTAAGTATATGCGCGTTTGACGCGGAGCACGCTTGGCACGCGTAACTAATCTATTCCGGCTTGAATGGTCGCGATCGCGAACAAGAAGGTTGCACTACACCAAGTCTGCGCCCATAGAAAACAGTGCAAAATCGGATCAAAATAGCGCTGCCTGGTGACTCTCGTGAAGAGGTTGGCCTCCTTTTTTCACTGGAAATTCAAGATTGTGGCCAGAAGATCACTTTTCGTTTGAATTGCATGGGGTTAGCCACGAATTTTCTTATTCGACTTTGAACGAAGCTACCCCAAAATAACAATAAAACTAAGCGCTCATTTCTGAATGTAGCCGCCCGCCGCTATCCAAAATAGGTCAGCAATTTCGGGCTTTTTATGAAAGAAATACCCTGAACTGGACACACTATCAGTCCTAAATTTGAAGTTTATAGAAATATTTCTATGATGCCTCCTGGTTATGGCCTGTTTTATTGTTAAAAAAAAGTGGGATCACAAAATATTAGCGAGCTCGCGCGCAGAAATACAACGATTTGGTGGAATGCACCCAGAACCTGCTTGTGACCACCTGTCTTTCTTTCGCCAATTGGGGGTGCACTTCAGCTCGGGACGGATTACACAGCTTTGGTCGAGTGAAGATGCCGTGTGCGTGCATCATGTCACACACGTAGGGCAGTGTGGACATCCGGGAGATTTCACAAAATTGTGGAAAGCAACCACATCTATGGAGGACGAAAAGTGGCCATCTGCTTTTCTGCTATCAAAATGGTAAAAAAAGGCAGATTTTACGTCTTTGTAACATTCAATTTTTGACGTTTCTATATTTCTGCTACCTCAAAAGCAGAATGACCATTTTATTGTAATGCATTTTTCCCACTTTCCTGCTTTTCTACTACTACAAAACTAGTTTTACTTTTCCTCGTTTTGATGGCGGCCGAGAAGTGGCCATCTGCTTTTTACCTGTCAAACAGGCAGGAAAGTGGATTGAACGTTTTGGCGACAACTGTGAATTCAACTTTTCTGCTTTTGTGATACCAGAAAAGCAGATTTTACATAGGTGGCCGAAAAGTGGCCATCTGCTTTTTTGTCCTCAACGGGCAGTGAATGGGGTCATGAACCTGCAGGTTACGACCATTTCCGTTCTGGGGGAGTGGAGACGTATAGAAACCAATCACGACTGAACCATTTTTTCTGCGGACCAATCCCATACGGCAGTATCAGTGTCCCTGTGAGGCAGAAAAAACAGCATCTCAAAAGAAAAACAGTTTTACAACTATCATCCGATAGACACACAAGCTTGCTTGTGCCGAGGAAAACGTAGAAGATAGGGTGGACTGTAATTATTGGTATATACGTCTTCAAAAAGTTCAATCCCCAAGAAAGGAAATGGTGATAACCTGAGGTTTACGACCCCGGTTACGGCCCTTAGAAGGCAGAAATGCAGATGGCGACTTTTCGTCCTCCATTATACACACCACGCCGATGCAAATAACTGCAACGAGAGCGCGGACGGAACTGATCAAACCTGATCCTCGGACTGGCTGGTGCGTGCGTACGTCTCTGTTTTCACCGGCGCGGTTCCTGCAATTTCGTGAGAATCCCGGATGCCCGCACTGCCCCTACACGTACGACTGCAAACCGATTCTTGTTACAGAAAGCTCAGCTGCTCAGTTCGCATATATGAAAACGTATTCTATTTCATTCTGCGGTTCACAAACTGACAGAATGTAGGTTTGTTTGCTTGTTTTTATTCCGGTCTATTTCATGTCGCAATTTTTTTTTATCCTCTGATACTTTTTATTCATCTTAACTGAATGCTGATAACTTGTCAAGTTAAGAAACTGACAATAATTTCCGGGGAACGCCCAAATAAATTCCCAGCATCTTGTTGTTGGGGCTACGATCACGTGTCATTGTATTATTCTTTACAACGCACATTATGCTAAATAGAAGTTCTACTCAACGTCACAAGAAACTCGTAAGTGATGCTGCAATTTATTCAAGTACTGCAGTGACAATATTTTTCAAAGTCTATTAATTCGTTGCATACGGCAATTATGAATGTCGTACTTCGATGAAAATTATAAAGAATTTCATTCTGTGACATGGATGTTCAAGTTGACAATGCGAAGTGGAACATCCCATCTTTAATTCACCTAATATGAAACTGTATTAGCACTGCAGTAGTGATATTTCCTTATTTTTTTTAAATAAGAGAAGTACTGATTGCCGTGCAATGTTTTGCGGTTAATTTAGATGTTGATATTCCAACGGTTTTTGTGTCGTGTTTCACGTGTCAGGTACATGCATAACTGACTTTATTTTAAAAAACGAAGCAATTCGGTTCCAGTTGCCGATTTACGGCACTGTTGAAAAAACGAATCACCTGCGCCATCTGCTATTAGAAAGGTTGAACATCTGTTGCCAAAACCTGAATATGAACAACATATACACAATGGCACACACCATGCATGGCTTAAAAGCCATATATTATGCAATTTGAAGAGCAAAACTTAATTTTGAGTGGTCTTTTTCACCGTAGACAATAGAAACAGGTAATACAATTTGATCAATATTGTGGTTTTTGCTTTTGCAATGAAACAGGTAACATGTTGCATTTATTCACCACTCTTGGAAATTACAGAATGTGTTCTGAACTTACCAAGTCATATGTCAGATGTGACAGGGACACGAAAAAAAATGGACCCCTAATTTATAGAATGACCCTAAAGGAAAGGTATCGAACTTCACGAGGTTGTTTGAAGCCCTTTTCCATAAAAAAATAAAGAAAACTCAACCACATGGGTTTTCCCACTTCAAGAACTTTAACGTTTATACAAACCTAAGAGATAACCATGTGTAAACTCTCGTAACACACTTTTGGCTCTTTTAATTATGCCAACTTACCCTTCCATCACAACTATTTGTGCAACCAAATTTTATACATTTCTTGGTGAAGGATGTCAGATATGGGGAAGTTTATTCATCTTATATCTTTAAAATGCTGAAATTCTTGAGCATTTTGCCCATCCACACTACAGACAATCAGCAGCATGTACCCGCAATAATTGTTAGTTGTGTGATAGCTTGATCAATCGCACCACAGCTCCTATCTTTTCCTTCTGTTTTCCTGTCACCCTCCAATTTGCTTCCATTCCAATGACCAATCATAGCTCAGCTTTCATTTGGATGGGGTCGGGAAAACAAAAAAGTTAAACCAACGGTCGAAGGGGGTATTCATTTTCATCTCACGTTGTCCTTTCCTTTTCCTTTCTCCCCCGTTCGTTTTCAGGGACAAAGCGACCCCCCCCCCCGACGCCCATCAACTAAAGAAATTACAAAATCATATAGGCTTAATATATTCTGCAGCCGTCAGAAATTGATTAATACCTTACATACTATTTTGGGTTTTTTTTCTACATAGAAACATTTCTTCATGTAACTTCATAATAAAGTAGTACTGAAATGCACACCCATTTTGTTTCAAATGTGTTCAAAAATGTTTGTGTTGCAGTCTACATTGCGTAATGGTGTATGTCAGATGGATTTCCATTGAAGGCCACACGGAGGAAAAGCTTGAAAGAGCAAACAAGACCGACTCGAGGCAGTCTGGGGAAAACCTTTTCCTACGTGTGACGAATATCCTAGTAAGTTTTGATTTTTTACAAAGAAACCAGAACGAAGACATTTGTTTGATAGTAAATCTTACCTCCAACTCCGGAGACTTGAGACACCACGGAAAGAGACAGAATGGCGCCCAAAACGACACTGCAGAGTACATCCATGTTAATGAGGAAAGAAATCCCGTCGGGAAATGGAAGAATAAAATATTGCAATTCTTCTAATGCTCGAACCTAACCGCACGATTTTAGCCGTTTAACACCCGTTGTGCGCAAGTCAAGCAGCACTGTTCAGCTGTTGCCAAGCCAATTCAGCAACCCACGCTACATAATTTTGGGTCTGTCTTTGCCTGATATCAGAAAACAATTTTTCACCGTTCCTCTCTGACTTCCAATGTCACTGCATCGACATCAATCCATGTTCTTGTGAGATGTTATTTCCAACGAAATATATTCCCCGTCACTTCTTACAATCGTTTTTTCTCCGTCAAACGTAGAATCTCCGCCACACGAGCAGATAAAAATCCCTCCTGGAAAAATAATACCCACAAAATATGCAGGTGCAATCGCCTGTCAGTTGCTCGCCAGACGGCTAGCGTCATTGCTTCCAGGAGCTTTAACTGAACCTGACCAATCAGAATGCCCGTTAACGACGAGCTATTGATTCCCCGCCTGTTGTTATGCTAATTGCGACAGAAAACCACTCAGGCGAAAAAAAGCATTGCTAGCTTAGGACGTTAGGTTATGGGCAATGTGTGTGTACACATGCCATCTATCTGTTGTGAAACGATAGCTTTCGGGCCCATGCAGTCATAACCCGAAACTTGTGAACTCTAACAGAACACCGTGCCCTTGCTCTACAATCTAATGATTAGGTTTCATTGCTGAGGTTAATTGTAAGTTGACAAGCACGAAGATGGAACCTGCACTTAAACAGGGTTACTCTCCCATTTTGCGAATTCAGGACGTGTCTATAGTGTCGGGCTTGTGAACACTGATACCAATAAATAAAAGTGAAGCCTAAAACTCGAAACAACGGGAAAACATATTTCCTCATTCATCATTTTTATTGTAAACATGCAAGGAACACGTGTATGTAGGCCCTAACGAAGACGTATCTTTGGAGAATACAAAACAACCGTAAGACAAACAGAATGCCAAAACCTTCAACGTTCATGGTTACAACATAAATCGTTAATAGGCGTGAATTTAATCAGACCTTCGAACATAATAAATTTCATCTTATTTTCAAGTATGCGCAATGTGTGCTGCACACCACCTTCACATAATTTATTATGCATGTTCATCTAGTGATTATGCTCGCGAGATAAACTGATCCAGTCACAATGGGTGTTGACCGAGTAGTTCCAGATGAATGAGCGATTCCCTTTAGACGAATTACATCATTAAATGGTGTGCGTGAATAATGGCGTAGGCCAACTGCAGCCGAACCTTTCCAAACACACCAGTGAGAGCTCGATCCAATTTAGGAAAGAATTTTATGCCGAAAAATGGCCACGATGGTTTTTCCTGTATCATGACCATTCCAAATTTGAATCGCGATTACACGGAAGTATCAACGTGTGTGTACAAATTTAACGTTGTACAGAACGCTCATCCTTCTTTCTGTTTTATATGTGACTATGCATCCGAATATCTTGTCTAGAGCTAGGTCTAGGTCTAGGTCTTCACTCCATTAAAAATGCGTGGAGACACGTAGACAACAGATCTAGCCGTAGCTCTGGAAGCCCGTTTCGGACACGGCCTAAGCAATGCACATGGAGTAAGAGAGCTACAGGTTTCCGCGTGCAGTTGCTTAGCAACGGAAAGAGATGACGAACCTGTCGCTTCGAGGGCGCCCTCTTGATACATGTCATTATGAGGGAAGAGTAAACTTTCGCTCGTTGCCGCCCGGCCCTCGACTTTTTTTAGGTAGTGGGTGAGGGGCAGTTATCATGGGCATGGTTAAATGTACGCTTGGTCAATTGCAATTAGAAAAGAACGTTCGACCTAGGACATAGGCGAGAAAGCAAGGGGAAGTCTTAGAGAGGCCTGGCAAGGCATGAATAGAGAGGAAAACTCGCAAACAAATTTGAGAAAGGGAGGAGAGGATTGAGGGGAAGAATAAGCCAAAAAAATGCACGGAATGCAAAAGGAGGAATAGTGCATTAGAATATGTTTAAAAAACTAGAAATAAAAGACATGTGATATTGGTGAAAAGGGAATCAGCAACCTAACCATACAAATTTGATATTCATATATGTAACGTTAAAAAGACTAAAATGTGATCCACGGCATATTGCTTAACACTTCCGAATACAAGTCTCCATAGGGTTTGCATTCCTTTCTTCGTGTCGGGCATGTGATTCACACAATAGATTTTAAGGATCAAATTCAAACAAGGTGGCTCACGATGGGTATTCAGTTGTATAAACTCCTGCTGGAAGGGGTCAGCTTTTTTTTTTCATGTGATAAGCATTGCGGAAAGGAATTGAACAGTTGGAGGAGCTCCTGCATTGCACTATGATGACTGATTCTGACGAAGGCGAGACCAGGTCGCTTCAATCAAGCCAAATTAAGCCAGTTCTCACCGAGATTTCGATTCTCGATTGCAGGTTCATGCCGACGAGGGTAAACAGAAGTTGTCAGCTTCTGTATATACCATGCAATACATGCTGACATCCCTGGTGAAAAACCTTCCTGCCACACGTGCGAAGCAAGCTGGCTGGCCTCTCGGTCAAGGGCTCACCTCATTTTGAAGTTTCAGCCCGACGACTTCCAGGAAGCATTGTCTTGCCGAGCGGCCCTTGCCTTTGACCCAGCTCAGTCCGAGTGTTTGACCTGACCAGTGTTTTAGGTATACTGAAGCTGGAGCAAGTGCATGCTGATTTTGATGTTCCAAGCGAGACATTTACACAGACATTGAAGCCAAAGGCCTGAGATTTTCGGCAATTAAGCCGAAAGGATGATAAAAGCCGTAAGTTTACCCGTCCGAAAAAGAGACATATGAAAAGATTGCTGAGCAATATCCTACGCCGTGAAATGCAGTGGCCGTCACGGCACCCAGAATAGACAATGAACTGAGGGGAACAATCCCTGCTTCAACCAGATCCAAAGATGTGATCTTCCAGGAAAGTCAGAAACATGTTGTCAAAGGGTTGCTCCCTTATTACAATATACATGTACTTACTGAATTGTGTATTAAACGCAAGTAAGTCGGGCCAACCTGTAAATGTCGCCAAGGTCAAAGAACTTGCCTTAGATGGCATAACCCTTGCAGGGAATGCCTCTTATGAACTAAGCATGAAACGAAGAGAGAAACTGAAACAGGTTCTCAATCCCATGTAACGAGGTCTATGCACCCGCAAACTCCCGTCTCCGATATTTTTTCGGAAAAGACCTTAAGAATACCATGAAACAGGTAGCGGAAACCTACAAGGCCGGTATTACTGACCCTAGAGGAGAGAGGAAACCCACCAAATCATCTACTCTAAACTAGGCCTGTACCGGGAAAAAACGGACATGTAAAATCAGATCTGTTCCATCTCCATCGGCACGTGCCAGGAAACTTAAAGCCAGGCTTAATTAAAAGACATTAAGACAATAAAACAATAATCAATTCAGATCGATGGATTCTGAACACTGTTTCAGGGTGTCAAAATATATTTTGTGAGTTGTTCTGTTCAGTTCTCTGAACCTCCTCAGAAAAATTTCTCTGAACAAGGATCCTTAACGATTAACACCGAGATTAGTGAGCTTCGGCTCAAAGGAGCAATCGGAGAAAGCCCTCCGGCAAAGTGCCGTTTTCTATCCAACATTCCTGATATGAATAATGTAGTACAAGTCGAAAGGGGTTCCCGACCTTTCACGGTTATGCACGAATGCGCATGAATGGCCTTGGCGGCAAGAAGTGTGAAGGTGCCATTGAAAAAGTACAGGGATGCGACTTCGATGATCCTTTTTCTCTCAGGTTTTCTGGCTTTCCGTCATAAAACTCCATTAAATCGTTTTAGCTGTTTAGTTTCTAATCTAAGTGGGATTTTTAGTGCTCTGTTAAAAGACTTTATAATCATTATTTTTTCTGTAGGCCTACGCACAAGATCGCCATTTCTTAGTATGGCCCCCTTCACTGTAAGAATATATAAATTACATTGTTGGTGTTCTTAGAGCCCACCTGAAAAATTGACCCCGATGGCGCGCCAGATTGAACCCTTGGTCAGGAAAAATAACGTGCAAAGATTTTAGAATTTGTAATTTTTGGTTCAGTTTCTTAAAAGTTAAACTCGGAAAAGGGGCTTTGGAAAATATTTGCTAGTATATGAATTTATAGAAACGGAATTTCACCTGACCTAAAAGAGAAATATCCTGCCAAAAACTGACCCATCACTTCCGAAAATCTAAAATACATGAAGAAAAGTGCAATGCGGCAGTCTCGTACACAGATGAATATTCACGGTTTGAAATTTTATGGTTGTCCGTCAGTAAAAATAGAAAAAAAGAACAAAATATTTCACACAGTCTTAAAATAAGAAGTAAACTTAAAGCAATATTCTACTTCAATTACGAAAGACTCTAATCTTTTATCTAACCTTGGCTGACAACAACTGCGTAATGTCAACTCAACGGAATCTGGAACACATCGACTTTAAGTATGTAAATATTTGCAACGTTCTACAATCTCGTTTTCACGTAAGCACGGGCAGTGAAAACAAACGTACGCGAACATGGAGACCTACTGTAGGTACGATATCCACGGAAGAGAAAGGTCGTTAATAAAATTCTTTTTTTACCCATCTCCAGGTGACTTTTCCTAAATATTACTTGAGGAAGACAAAGGTAAAATTCCAACATGGGCGTTTCATGGGGTGGTTTCAATTAAGAACTATTCTTCCCAAAATCATCGAATGTGATAGGACGGCCCAACGTATAATCCCCACAGGAGGACCGCTCGCGGGTTCCGGAAGCTCGCCGCGTGACCTTTTACTTTCAGGCTCTACGGAGTACCGAAGTGTGGTGTGTTCAGGGAAGCTAACCGAACGCACCCAGTGTGTTTGTATGACGGGCTGGGAGTATATTACAGCGCTCCTTGCAACTGAGAGAATGAATTGGGGATACAGTGATCGGCATTTTAGTGTATTTTTATGTATATTTATTACGTTTTATAACAATTTATTACTCTGAGGACTTTTCACTGTAAAGTTAGAGTGCACTGCATTTTCCCAAACAGTTGGCTGTGACTGAGATTGTTATCAGTACTACTGCCTAGTCACTAGCCTGGGAAAGGAGATAATCATATTACTTTTGAACAAAAGGCTATGATGACTTCAATGTAGAACATACATGATAGAATAGTACTTTGTGTTGTTTTTGTAGTGCTGCCTCACGTGTGGACTCAAGACTCCACGGGATGTTGCCAAGGCCATGCTATTCCCTTTAAGACCTGTTCAACTGTTTAGTTAACGGATTGAAGTTCACTGTTTTTATCTCAGCTGCTGGTTGCATGTATACTGTGCGTACTAGCACAGCTGTACAGTATTGTGGAAGACAACAAGCAACTGGTCAAGTTATTCACTTACTGAGAAAGTCAGTATCCATATAGATGTAATTGATTTATTTTGGCATCAAAATGATCACTATTCTATGACTGTACCAACATGCACAGGGTCAAGTTAGTGGATGTGAAGATTATGGAATTACATATGTTCATATCCATTGTTCTACCAGCGGTGACAATGACACGTAATGTATTAAAAGTTAGTCTCTGCAGTGCAGCTTATGACTTTATCATCTCCTTTTATTCATTACAGGGTCGAGTATTCATTTTTTCATGTGCCCTGTGTCGATTGCCATGCTGACAGACATGGGGTACAACAATATGAAAATAAACCTTGACCTCATAGGGTAATTCGCACAAAACAGAATTTTTAAAAATAATGTTTCTATTTAAGATGTGTTATCTGTACTTTTGGGGTGTGGCACCTCAAAAATAGATTTTTTAAAAAATTGAATTGATGTTTTTCTAGGATCACATTTTGTATGAGCTTTCCAGTGAGACAGTACTCAAAAAAAGTGGTCCTTGATAATCAAATACTGAATCAAATGATCAAGTTTTTCAGTTACCGCTTCTAATTCAAATCAGAAGGCAGATGGGAACAAGTGTGTACATGCTTTTCACAACAGTAGTTTATGAATAATAACCTCAACAATACTACATGGCACTTAATGTACTGTGTTAAGGCCTGAAATTACAACCAATAAACTTTATTTGTTAAAAGTCATCGTATCATTTCAAAATCAAAATTTGCTCGGAAAGAAAAATTAATGAATAGTTTGCAAAAGCATGGACACTACAGTTTCAAAGGAACTTCGGCATCAATTAAAAGTAACACATCTTTACCACTAATTTTATCCCAAGAGATTAAACAATGGTAACAAACTCGTTTGTTTACTGCACAACTGCATGCGTCATTCAGTATTTAAAAAAATTCAATTTATGCTGTTCCAATAAGGCAACAATTTAAAGATTCCTATCCCCAAACCAATCTAAATATAACACAAAACTCTACGTTCAATCCAGCAAGTTATTCTGTAATATAAAACGCATCTCACAGGTAATGAATAATCTATACCAACAAAGAAAAAATGGACACTGTTGTAAATCACTGAAGCATAAACGAAACAATCTAAATTTTAATAAAGACTTGTTAACAAGATAAGTAATGTTATTGAGCTGTTTTGAGAAAAAAAATCACGGTACTAAATTGATCAAACTTGGACGAATATTAATATACAGACCATGTGCCTTGTAAAATGCTATGTTAACAGGCTTAAACTGCAAAGCAACCCAAGCATTGAACTATTTTCTGCACATCAATATTCTTACATTAAACATATTATAACATTGTATGCCATTCATATTTTAAGAGATGCACATGCAGTGCAGCAGAGAAACACGGAATGTTTGCATCTTGTGCCCACAATATCCAATTTTGAAAATATGTTAAACTTTGAAGGATGTGAACTCCAGGGACTTTAGTTCAAATTAATGAAACAAAAACCGTCCACATCTTAAATGGCATGTTATAATAATTATAAATAGACAACAAAGGCATATGTACATAGAAATGCCCTTCAAATAGTCGGCTTGCTGAATTGCCATCTTCACTGCACTGTCTCAGTGCTTGGCCTGATGGTACTAGTCATGGCCTGTGGAGGAAATTTAAAAAATGCGTTGGGTAGGTAGGAGACAAGGAAAACCCCCAAAGGGAGAAAAATATACTCGCCTAATGTTTTGTTTTAATAAATGTTTTGTTTCCATAAAGTGCAGTTAATGTCAGAAGTTGCCGCTTTAATATCTGGTTGTAGCAACACATGTCAACTACAAGGTCACACATTGTCCACTATTGTAACTGAAGACCTACACAAGACCTCCAGTCTGAATTCAAGTCACAAGCTCTCCAAATGAACTGCAACAAAAGTATTCCTTTATCATTGTTCACTCAGTTACTTGCGCATGGTCTTGTGACAGTCTCAACTACAACACTGACAAGCAGTGAGATAGCATGTTCACCTATTAGCCTACTTTAGGTGCAATGGACACAATAGGAGGGTACTCTTTGGTTTAGATAAAATCTTTTGTGCTTGCTCAAAGTTTTACCCACTTCAAATAGCGCAGACCTGCCAACCTCTGAGATCACGAAACTGTATTTTGAAAATCCAAAAGTTGTATGTTTTTCAATTAAAAATTGTTTTTTAAAAAATATGAGCATATTCCAGTCATATTTGATCGGTTTGACCAACTCTGGATTACCTGTAGGTCAAAACTTCTTCACACATGAAAATAATCACAAAAATCCATTATCAAGGTTGTAGAGTGAGTTGGCCCTTTTCCCACCTGGTTTGACCATGTTTTCAAAATCTGAATTCTTTGATACAAAGAACGCACATCGCATGTCCAGGCATTTGGATTTTCCAGGCGTGGATAGTGTTGCCTGCCTGTCTACGGTGTATTCCAGCCAAGTCCATTTCTGCAGCTTAAGTAGGAGCCTCTTACGACAATTTATACACTTGTGTTACACTGACATTTTGATTAGTTAATGTCCAAATATTGTTTGAAATCTCATACAAAACGATGCGCACAGCATGTGACAAAGCACCACACAAAGAACTTTACCTCAAACCAGTTGTCACAAAGTCCTCTATCAGCAAAAACGAAAATTTATTAACCTTATTTCAAGCCACAAATGTACGGTGACTTGTGCTACCGCCAGCTACAGTGAGAATTATTAGTTACTACTTCCTCAGACCATAGAGCAATGCTCGGACACAGGAATAGCTGTAACAAGTCCAACTGACACGTACATGAACACTGATAGTTCATTAATAGTCAATCACAACATAATAATCGGGTGGTACCCAGGATGCTGTTTACGCACGAGGCTTGCACTTCAAACCATGTCAAAAAATGCACACACAGATTTGTATACACTGTACACAAGTATGTACGTGCATACATTGTACAGTTGCTTCAATTACCTGCAGGATAGCACCCTAGTACTGGTTTTGCACGTGTTTGGTGTCGGGAAAATGTAAAAATTTGGCCTGGCCATCATGTCAACAGAAAAGGAAAAAAACAGAAAAAGTGGTGCTTGTGCATGGAAGAAGAATGAGAAATTTGGCATACTCAACAAATACTGTAACTGTTTCATGCTTAAACCTATTGTAGTGCCGGCGGGTCCGGCCGGTGGGGGCGCCAGCTCAGACCTGCATGGAGATAGCTGGCTGCCCCCACTGGTATGCGAACAGCCCACGGTTTTCCCGCCTAACGCCTGCGCAGTCCCCGCCTAGACGCCTCATGTCTAGAACTTGGTGTGAAAAAAAACAGTGTTGTGACATCGAAAGAAATAAACAGAGATTTCTTGCCCAGAACGGCGATTTGTGGCTGACTGTGTGCTTCTGTGACAGCGTCAGAGCCCAATAAGTAGGACACGCTACAACTGGTATTGACGCTGTTTTCAAGAAAAGCAGGTAAACTCTTTGCCTTTTCTGTGCCATGGAATGGGTGGATGATTTGGGTCAGGTGCCGGACTCGCTGGACAGCGGCAGCACAGGCCAGCGCGGGGCCCTGCAGTCGGGGGCCCAGACTGCGACGGCAATGTGGAACTCGCCTAGGTTGGCGGGCAAGCTGGAGTTGTTCCTCGCAGGGAATCTGGAACAGTTATCCAGGAGCGGGGGCAGAAATTCGAGGGTATCGAGTGCGCAGCGTGGGGGGATTTCTGGTTAGGTCCCCTCATGAGGTGGATCCTCACTCGGGGATCCGCACGCGTCTGTGTGGATCCCATGATCTCACTGGACGCCTGCCCCGAACCAAGGCCGGGAACACCAGCATAATGGTAGTGGCGGACTATTTCCCAAACTGGGTGGAGGCATTTCCCCTTCTGGATCAGACGGCCGAGACCGTGGCCAAGACCCTCATGGAGCAGGTGATCATGCACTTCGGGACACCCCTCGAGATCCACACGGATCAAGGGTGGGAGTTTAAGGCGGGCCTGTTTTGCGGGGTCTGCCGGCTGTTAGACATCCACAAGACCAGGATGACTTTGTTCCACCCAAAGTCCGACGGCATGGTCGAACGGTCCAATCGAACTGTGAAGACCATGCTGAGCATGTTTGTGGCTGAGAATCAGGACGACTGGGACGAACATCTTCCCTACGTCCTGATGGCCTACCGTTCCTCCCAGCACGATAGCACCAGGCTCACCCCGAACATGCTCATGCTCAGGAGGGAGGTGGGACTTCCCCTGGACGTCATTGTGGGGTCACCAGAGGAGCCAATGGAGACTACCGAGGCACTAAATTACGTTGACGAGCTCAGAGCAAGGCTCACGTGGGCCCACGAGTTTGCCCGGCGACATTTGAGGCAGACTCAGAGCTACCAGAAGCAAAAGTACGACCGTTGCGCCCAAGGGGCCAGGTTCGAGCCCAGCCAGGCTGTTTGACTGTTCACCCCCCAAGACGAAGGTCGGTCGCGCCCTCATCAACGATGTGACCTACAAAGTGCAGCGTACCGCTCGAGCGAAGCCTCAGATCATGCATCGCAATCGCCTCAAGCGCTACCTGGGCGACATGCAGCTTGGATGGTGGGAGCGCGCGGCCCGCGGAGCCCTGGCCGAGGAGGTGCCCGCACGGGCAGGGGGGCAAGGAGCCAGTGGATCCGGCCCCCAATCCTACCCGTGGAGGCCATCTCCCCCGTTGAACTCTGATTTGTCAAAATGGCTAAAAGCCACATTTTATGGGGGGGGGAAAAGTCATATTTTCAATAAATTCAAGTAGGTAATACGGCAAAACTGTACTAGTTGGCAGGTCTGATGGTGCTCTCCTATTTTGTCTGCCATACTTCAAATAGGCTAATTGAAGCCACAAACTAGTGGCTGTATCCATTTCCCTTTGATTTAAATATAAACACACGCACAACTTGGCAGCAGCCATGACTTTTGGATATTACCGTTACTTTTGGAATATAAGTCGGCCGGTGTATAAGCCGCAGCACGCAAAAATCTGCAAATTAAGATTTAAAGTTGGCATAGAAGCTGCACTGGCGTAGAAGGCACACCACAATGCTAACGATCCAACTATGAAGGTCATGCTGCTGCATGCTGAAGCACCAATACAGAATGTACAGTACATCAATGGTTCCACTACACATGCAATCCTAGCAAAAGTATATAGCAAAGTTTGAACGAGTATCACCATAAAAAGTGAACTTTAAGTCCTAAAATTTTTTTTTGCACGCTGGATGCATGGTCCTGCGTGGATTATGCATCAGCTCTTGCCTTTTTCCCAGCAGTCAGCAAAAGTAATGCGGTCAGGGACGTACAATAAAATCTTGGTAACTCAAAGTCAGTTAAGTCTAGAGATCATTTTATCTCAATAGGTCAACTATTTCTTGCCAAATAATAGGCTTTGATTGAAAAAAATACCTCTGTAACTGTCCACAACACTACATGTATGTCCGGTAATGTTGAGGTTTTTGTGATGCCGCTCAAAAAAACCACTGCCAAATCACTTAAAAAATGAAAACTCTGCCGTGAGACCTGAGTTCGAGTCATCACAATGGAACCACTTGTGTTCGATGCAAGCTGCACATGGCATGGCACACGCGCACCATCACGATCACACAAACCCTGTTTTCAGGCTAGCCTGACTGCTACAGCAGACCCATTAATGGGCAATCCAATCACTGACACTTTCTGATAACCATGTGACCACAGAAAGTGTTGTCATCAGAAAACCCAAGTTAAAAAACAAAATAAATAATAAAAACGAAATTCTGTGGCATGTTACACTTAACACGATCAGCATCAAGATAAAAGATCTGCCACACGAAGGCACACCATTGAAACGGTTGATTTTTTATTGAACGATAGAACAAAATCTTTAGGTCACGACAATAAAACTACCTTAGTAAATGATAATTCGTCTGCAAGAAATACTCCATGAGATTGAATAAAAAGTGGAAAAATAATCACTAAAAAATCTTGCCACAGGGCAAGTAAAGTTCAAGATTTAAATATACAATTCATGTACATGCATGTGTTTCATGACTCCATGACTCGGAGAATTCCATTGATAACTCAAATTATTCACAACTCCAATTTTTATTTATTCTCTGAGGTTCGAGTTTTCAGATGTAAACAGCAACCAAAAAAAAAATGACTGCACCATCTGCGTGGTATGCGTGGCCCAGGTCTGGCTTTTGTGACTGATTTTATCCTTCAACGGTAGCCGTATAAGCTGCCCAGTGTATACGCTGCAGAGACATTTTCAGCGTAAGAATCAACGTATAAAGCTGCGGCTTATATTCTGAAAATTATGGTACCTCAGACAAGATGACACCTACCCTGCTCATCACCTGCTGGCCCAGGAACTGTGTTGCCATTGATGACAGTTGTTTCCTAGAACTGACTTTGCATCTGATGTAACCAAAGAGATTGGCTACATTTAGGACTAAGGCAACTATTGTTACAACCTGAGGAGAGAACAAAACATAAATCTAAATAATTAACCTAATTAGATTCGAACCTTTGACTTCGTGAACCGTTTTACTTTCAGGGCTATAATATTTGATATATCCTGACTTCCGGGCATAATCTGTCCCTAGTTGTGTGGGTTACATCAAGTTTATCAAATACATTGTACCCTGAACGCCCAGAATATCAACAAATGTGGAAGACCCAGGTCATTGACTGAAGCCAGATTTGAACCCTGACTTTAAAAAAAAAAGCTGTTCAGCATATATATGGGTCAGCTGGAATCAGCTGGGAACCAGTCACCACAAATACACACTGCATGACATTTAGGCTAATGACCTGCTTTTGCTGAATTTTACTCAGCAAGTGGCACTTTTAAGTTAAAATATATTTTGAACTTTGATCTTGTTCAACAGAACTAAGAGTCTCCAAGGCATTACAAGAGGCAATTGAGGATGCAGGGGTCAAGTCTATCTAGGGCTGACAGAAATGGCAGACAAAATGGAAAAACAGTTGGCTACATGATGAAGAGAGGCAACCACTACCAAGAACATGGGCGCTTTCAACAGATGGGAAGTAGTCATACAGGTAAAGGGCTGCCAAACTATACCAGCCAAGCTGATACACGTAGCTTTGCGCATATTAAGTTTAACTTATCCACGTTCCTCTGTAAGTGTTGTTTACACAGCTGTCTATGGAATAAAATGCGGAAAGTTTGGGGATCTAGTGATCCTACAGATAATGAATTCACAAGAAAGTTTAAGAGACAGCAAAGAAAACCATTTAAAAGTCAATAGTAAAGAAAATGAAATATAATTGAAAGTGAATACATCACTGCGTGTGAAAAATACAAAGGATCCCAAGACTTTCTAGTAATCAGAGATTTGGTCACTTCTGTCTGAAGGTTTTCGGTTGTTTTTTGTTTTTTTTCTCAGATTTGATGAAATTTGCTCTCAACGGGCAAAAGATGTCAAGTTTCATGATATTCTGACATGTACATGTAGGTCATAATATGATACACTTTGCAGTATTCTCCATGAGGGGTTTTACCAGAGCGGGCCACCCTGCCAAAATCTTAGACCGCCCTGCTAAAGTTTTGCTGCGCTGCCAAAATTCTCACCACCCAGCTATTTTCATCTATTGGATTTTCCCTAGTCTCCACCATCTTCGCAGTTTAATTAAATGCAAAGATGTTTACGGCACTTTATGGAACATGATGAGTTTGCCATCATTATTCAGCACAACAATACATGTACAACACTTTGCAGCTTTTGTGATAAAACCAGACGCAGTAAAGTATGCAAGCACAAAATTCTGGACTGGTTCCAATCTCCTGGTCATAACATTTTCGTTTTGTCATGTCAGGAACCAGTGCCCTGAATGCTTTTTTTCTTCTCAGAAAATACAACATATTTCCTACATGTACATGTAGTTCTGGATTTTTCCCAGATCCAGATCGCTTGAAATAAAACTTTCTTTCTCTTGTGTTCTAAATCAAATAAGTTCAGATACAAAGGTGAAATTTAAGCTTCTCATACAAAATTTTGTTCTAAGAAAACATCGAAAAAGTATTTCTGCAAGCTACATTTCTGTTTCGAACTTCGGCATTTTTGAACAGTTTGTCAAAAATCATGAGAGCCAAAAAACTCAACCAAAAAATACATGGTGATAGGTCATTCTGTACGTGTGATTACAAATACTTTTTCCTTACCTAAGAGTCCCATAAACTTTGCATTTAATGTATATTTAATCAAAATGACTTTTGGAACTTCCCCTTTTTTTTAATAAATTGGCCCGAAACTAATTTTAGGCTGTGGAGAAGAATAACATCCTTTCTTTTCTCTGTTTGTTCAAGCCTCCTGGCAAGCATTAACCTTAAATTGGTGCAAAATGGTGTTCAATGGTGTCTTTGGGAATGTTAACAAGGTGTAACAGATTAGACCATGTTGACCACATGCTCTAACCACCTCTTCTTCATCTTCTTCAGTATTCACTGAATCCATGTATAAATCCCAAGCAAGTGACGTCACTTGACAACGCGGTAATGTTTATCGGCCATTTTAGACAGCACGGATGCACGTACGTGTACACGTGGTACCACACCGCATCATATGCATGCACTGATAGCGACCACGCGATTTACAACAACACCGTCAGCGGGATAAGCTTTTCTTGACATCGTATTCCTACTTGTTCGTGACAACATGGTGATATCTTGCTCTGCGTACCGCTGTACAAACAGATAAGGCCGAAACGACGGCATTTTGTTCTACAGATTTCCAATAAATTCGGAGAGAAGAGCGAAATGGGTTGCGGCGTTGAAATGTGCAGACTGGATGCCGTCCAGCACGAGTAGAATATGCAGCGTACATTTTGTATCCGGTAAGCTACGGACTTCCAAAAATATTTTGTGGGATCATTGTGCAGACAAAGATGAACTCCTGAAATTTGTAGTGTGAAACCTTTTTACAGTTTGCTGGAATGAAATACTTCTCGCAAAAGCTGCACTGATTGTTCTCAAAATTTTGTCAACATGACATGTCAAAATACTGCACATGTAACGTTAGGATATTAGATGATGGCTTTTCTTTTACTGTCGTTTCCCATTTACTGTGTGGGCTGATTTCTTTCCAGTCTTCACAGTAAACCCCAAGGCTTCAGTATTTGATGCCAATGGAATGTTTCGAGTGAATAGAATTAAGATTCAATTTTGTTTATGATTCCATTTCATGTTACATTGGAATCTGCCCACCAGTTTTTGCATGTTAAACACTGTATCATAACATGTATTTTGACATTCTATTTCTGTAGGTAAAAAGAGTGATAACCCCCTATCACCCAACTACGTGCCATCCTTATTCTGCTTCATTACCTCACCGCAGAAGG